GGCCCGGGAGCGGGGCGAGGTAGAGGACGACGCGGGGGTCATCGTGGAGGACGATCAGCAGGCCGTACCCAGGAGCATGACACCCCAAGTGAGCCTGATATGGAAAACTCTTATGTGAACAAGTCTGATGAACTCATGCAGGATGCTGATGGAAGCAGGAAACGCACATCAGAGCCTAAGGGAGGGGCGTGCTAGCTCTCCCATCGTCTTCCACAGCACCAGCGCTACCGCCTCCAGAGATCCCTGCCAGCCCTTCCTCCAAGCAGGACCCGAAGCGGCCACGAGTCAACCCTGACAAGACTGCCCAGAAAAAGAATGCAGCTTCTGAGAAACTGAACCAAGAAAAATCGGCGACCTCCCGAGAGGAGGATCGCCGGGCACAATGAATGTCCTATGCTGGAATTGTCGTGGTGTGGGCAAAGCCGCGACAATTCGAGAGCTTCGCGACTTAGCGAAGCAATTTGCCCCGACAGTGCTATGTATTGTAGAAACTCAGATCTCAAAAGCACGTGTCGAAAATCTTGCTAGTACCTTAGGTTTTAATCATGCTTATGTTGTTGGCAGTTCGGGCCGCAGCGGTGGAATCGGTTTTGTTTTGGAATAATGGAATAAATCTCGATGTTTTCGGCTATTCTCAGTATCATATGGATGCTAAAGTGTCTATGCCCAACCATAGTGATTGGAGGCTGACATGCGTTTACGGTGAAGCCCAGGTGAGTGAGAGACATAAAACCTGGGATCTACTTAAATAACTTGTGTCCGCGAGCACATTGTCGTGGCTCTGAATAGGTGATTTTAATGAGGTTCTTAACCCACATGAACACATGGGGACTGGACAGAGAAGGCACACACAAATTCAAGCTTTCCGCGAAGTGGTAGATGTTTGTGCCTTTACTGATCTGGGATACCACGGCAAGCCTTGGACTTTTGAAAACAAAACGGCAGGGGGAGGATATTGCAGAGTACGTCTTGATCGTGCACTTTCAAATACGGATTGGATGGCTGCTTTCCCTCAGGCCCAACTGTCTCATGAGACTGCTGCCTCGTCCGACCATTGCCCGTTACGTTTGCAGCTGGAACCTCCTACTCCATCACAAGCTAAACAAAAGTTATTTAGGTATGAAGTGTACTGGGAACGGCACGAGGAATTTGGTCCTTCTTTGGAGGCGATGTGGAGTGGCTCTCCGGCTGGCCAAAGCGTCATGCAACTGAGTAAAAAATTGGGCGACCTGTCGGCATCGCTGCGACAGTGGAGCGGGGCGACGATAGGCTGTGTGGGAAAAGAAATAAAGAAACTAAAGAGGGAGCTGGCTACTTTGTAGAATGACCCCCAGAGAATCGCGCCGTCACATGCAGAGAAAAAAATTTCTGATCGTCTTGTTGAGCTCTATCATATGGAGGAAATAATGCAACGTCAACGCTCGCGTGTTGACTGGCTCACTGAAGGGGACAGAAATACCAAGTTCTTTCAACGAAGGGCAAGTATGCGTTGACGGAAGAATACTATCAAAACCCTGCAGCGAGCGGATGGAACGTCAACCGATGATCCGGTTGAGATGGCCTCGATCACAAATGAGTTTTATAAAAACTTATTCACGTCAGAGGGTACGACAGGAATGGATACGGTGCTGGATGCAGTTCCCTCCAAGGTCACCCCGCATATGAACTTGCTACTCACCGCTCCGTATAGTGGGGACGAGGTGAAAACAGCCCTCTTCCAAATGTATCCTACGAAGGCTCCGGGATCGGACGGATACCCGGCGCACTTTTTCCAGCGACATTGGGAGCTGTGTGGTGGCGAGGTAACTGAAGTAGTGCTTCGCATTTTGCGTGGAGAGGAAGGACCGGAGGCTATTAATGAGACGATTCTTGTCCTAATACCAAAGGTAAAAGATTCCTCTGACTTGACACAGTTTAGACCCATCAGCTTATGCAACGTTTTATATAAGATTGCCTCCAAGGTGTTATCCAACAGATTGAAACAGATATTGCCTGACATCATCTCGGAGGAGCAGTCTGCGTTTGTGCCTGGCCGTTTAATCACGGATAATATCATAACAACCTATGAATGCCTGCATTTCATGAAAAGGAACAAGGCTCAGCGGAATAGATATTGTGCAGTTAAACTGGATATGATGAAGGCCTATGACCGTGTTGAGTGGAACTACCTTGAGGCTATCATGACCAAGATGGGATTTGCACCTACTTGGGTAGCCTCAATCATGAGAATGGTGACTTCAGTAAAATTTTCTGTCCTATTCAATGGAAACAAGCTTGAGGAATTCACACCATCCAAAGGGATCCGTCAGGGAGACCCTATTTCTCCATACCTGTTTTTGATCATAGCGGAGGGCCTTTCGTGCCTCTTAAAAACCCAAGATAAATCATCGCACCTCAGTGGTATTCGAGTGGCTCCGACGGCACCGCCGGTAAGCCACTTGCTTTTTGCAGATGATAGCCTGCTGTTTGTCAAAGCCAGTTCAGCTGGAGCAAATGAGTTGTCTTCCTTGATGGATAGTTATTGTAATGCCTCAGGCCAGAGAATAAATTTAGCAAAGTCTTCAGTGTTTTTCAGTAAGGGCACCCTGAATTCGCTGAAAACGGAAGTAAAAAACATTTTGAATATTCCAAATGAATCTCTTTCTGATAGATATTTGGGCATGCCCACCGATGTGGGAGCGAGCAAAAACGGAGCCTTCAAATTTCTTAAAGACAGAGTATGGAGCAAGGTTAAGGGGTGGATGGAAAAGCTATTGTCTGCTGGAGGAAAAGAGGTTCTGATTAAATCCGTAGCACAAGCGGTTCCCATTTACTCCATGTCATGTTTTAAGCTCCCACGAGGCCTATGTGAGCATATCAACACGCTCATTAGAAAGTTTTGGTGGGGTAGCAAAGAAGGGAAACAGAAGGCGAGCTGGGTTTCATGGAGCACTATGACCATGCCAAAATTCTGTGGTGGATTAGGATTTCGGGATACTGAGCTTTTCAACCTAGCGTTGCTAGCGAGACAAGCCTGGAGAATTTTGACGGATCCGCAATCCCTTAGCGCCCGAGTCCTGAAAGCAAAGTACCACCCTACAACGGATTTCTTAAGCGCGGAGCTGGGTTCGGCCCCCTCCCAAATCTGGCGAGCTATCATGGATGGACGAGAAGTGCTAAATCAGGGACTAATCCGGCGTATTGGTGATGGCCTAACCACGCATATTTGGAACCAAAACTGGCTACCACGTCCGGCTAATATGAGACCGATAGTGAGCAGAATAGCGAATCCACCTCAGGGGGTGAACGAACTAATATTGTCAGGTGCACAATGGGACAGCACAGCGATCTCAGAGATTTTTCTTCCAACAGATGCACATGCGATTATGTCAATACCCTTATGTACGAGACACATTGAGGATTTCTGGTCTTGGATCCATGAAAAGAATGGGGTGTTCTCTGTAAGGTCCGCTTACCGCATGCTGGTTAACACCAAGATGAGGAGAGAAGCATGGCTAGAAGGCCGAGCCAACTCCTCAGATATTGACAGGGATTCAAAGGCGTGGGAGCAGTTATGGAAAGTTAATGTACCCCCCAAGGTGAACATCTTTTTATGGAGGCTTGCTCAGCAATCTATCCCCACGGCAGATTTGCTTCATCACCGAAACATGTCCACAAGCACACCGTGTGGCTTGTGCGGGGCAGAAGATTCATGGCAACACTCGCTACCACACTGCACAGTCGCTCGTTGTGTGTGGGCGCTGCAAGATCCGGAGCTAGTTGAAGCTCTGGACAACACAACAGAGCCGGACGCGAAGAGGTGGTTGTTTGCCCTATTGGAAATGCTGTCGCCGACTGAGTTCATCCAGGTCGCGGTCACCATGTGGGCGCTGTGGCACTCAAGGAGACAGGCGCTGCATGAGAATGTATTCCAGAGCCTGTTGGCAACGCATAGCTTCATTTCAAAGTACATTCGAGAGATCGAGGAATGCAAGCCCAAAGTGACTCAAGGAGCTGCGACCCAAAACCCGGTCCAGGATCAGGCTAAATGGATACCACCGCCGCCGGGAGTGGCGAAGATTAGAGTTGATGGAGCAACAGCGAGAAATACCCTTGATGGTACGTTCAGCGCCGTATGCAGAGATGACATGGGTGTATTCCTAGGTGCCTCTGTGATCAAGATCCCAGGAGTGGTGGATCCGGCAACTCTAGAAGCCTTGGCCTGTCGTGAGGCGCTTGCTCTAGCATCGGACTTGAATCTTCCCCGGCTTGTTATTGCTTCGGACTGCCAGGGCGTGATCAGGGACATCAAAGAAGGCACAGGAGGATTATATGCTACTATTATTAAGGAGATCAAGGAGATGGCACCGGACTTCGATCAATGCAACTTCATCTTTGAGGGCAGATCGACAAACATCGAGGCACATAGCCTCGCTAAACACGCTTTCGGCATAGATTATGGGCGTCATGTATGGCTTATAAACCCACCAGACATTCGTTGTATTCCTATGAACTTTTATGATTAATAAAGTGTGTTTAGTCTCAAAAAAAAACTAATAAACAACCTGGTATCTGGTTATATGGTAACCTGCATTGCACCTAGAGCGGCATGGATGCGCAAACAACATGATAATAATCTTCCAAGTCATTCCGGCAGATGCGCTCTGGTTGTTCCTTGCGGCGGTGACCTGTTTGAGATGGATGGAGTCGCAATAGTACTTATTTTCCAGGATTTTATTTTTATTTTTTCAAAATCTCGAAGGAAAGTTTTTTAGAACAGTAAATATTTTGTTTCTTTAGGGGTAACAGTAGAATATTTTGTACAATCAAAATTGAGTTGACAGCGATCTCCTTCTGGGCTAAGCCCATCTTGCAAAGAAATAAGGCCAACCCGTTTCAGTGCCCATCCCATGGCCAGCCCAACCGAAGGTCTACATGTTGTGTGCACGGTTAAACCCATCCCATCCCATCCCCTCCGCCGCCGCCTGGTTCCTGGGACGGATCGAGATACCAGGACGACCATGGCGGCGGTCGCAACAGCAGGAGCAACGCGTCCCAGCCGCGGTCTCCCAGACGAGATCGCCATCTGGGAGATCCTCGTCCACCTCCCCCCAAATGCCCTCCTCCGCTGCCGCGCCGTCTGCCGCGCGTGGCGCCGCGCCACCACCACCCGCGACTTCCTCCTCGCCCACCATGCCCGCCAGCCCATCCTTCTAATGCGTCAGTTACCAAGCCGTGACCATAGTTGAATCACATAATTTGTAGAAAATAAAAAAGAAAAACAATTGTTGAGGTGGCACTTGCTGAGGTGAATAGACTGCATGTCAAGAGAAATAGGATAGTGGGGATCAACTATCCCTAGACATCATCTCCTTCGACCACCGGGCCGCCGCTGACCAGCTCCGGACTGTCGCGCGATTTGGCGGCATGTCCTACAGTCTGGTGGCTTGCTGCGACGGCCTCTTCGTCCTGGCCGTAAACAGGGCGCACTTTGGCATCTCAATGAACATGAAGCACTTCGCCATCTACAACCCGGCAACTCGTCAATATGCTTCTCTGTCAACGCTTTCAGGCTTCAGGCTCTTGGGAATGTACCATCACCCTGCTACGGGCGAGTACAGACTACTGATGCACCATTGCCAGTGGTCCGAACCTGGCAGACAAGTTGGCTCCTATGTCTTCTCATTGGGCCCTGGCCAGCCCCTGAGGCACATCGGCAAGTGTCTCGATGCCAATGAACTGAGCAACATATCTGTGCTATTCCGTGGTTGCTTGCATTGGTACCGAATGAAGTGCCGGGGAAAAAGCTGCATGATAATCGTGCTCGACACCATAGCTGAGTCATTCCGGCAGATGTGCCCTCCAAATGTTTCTGGCTGTGTCGACCTATTTGATATGGATGGCATGCTCAGCATGTCCAACTTAAATTATTCAGTGAATATAATCGAAGTCTGGGTTCTACAGGACTATGAAAGCGAGGTCTGGACTTTCATGTACCAGATTGAATTGCCGTTTACGGAGATCAGGGCGCAATGTGGTTACCGTCAGAGTGCCGATATTTGGAGTGCGGTGGTCGTACCTGAGGAAGGTGAGTTGCTTGTGATGGTACGGTTTAACGAGTGGCTGATTCAGGTTGACATGGATGGCAAGTTGGTCGCCACTTTTCATTGCAGGGGAGTCGTTCCTATCCAATTTCTTCTCAAACAAACTCTTGTTCCGCATACCTTCTTTCCAACACTAGAGGGTTATGTTGTGAACCATTTTCCTTTAATCTGAAGGTTGTTGAGCGAGCTGGCACTTCTTAATATACTAGGTGTTTGTATCCTCATGAGCTGCGGTATGTATGAATTGGATCTATTATGAGCCTAGTGGCTTCTTTGTTGATGCATAAAATTGTAATAAAGAAATGCATGTTTGTGTCGATGACCTTTCAGAATGAAGGGATTATTGTGCGCGTGCATGCCAAAATTACAAAGTCATTTTGGCATGTGTTTGAAATATGTGCTAACTAATCTGGCCCATGTCTCTATTTTCTTGAACTGGAGAGTCCACTTCGGTATATTTATCTAGGCCTAAATATAAGTTAGCAGTACACTGTTTGCTCCCGTCACTAATTACCAGACGATCCGAAATTAGCGGAGTTGCCACCGCGTCGTCCTCGGCGACTCGGGCGGTGATCCCTTGTTCGCCAGAACCGGCGCCACCTCCCGTCACATCTCTTCTCGCCACCGCCACGGCGCGCCGCCGGCGAAGCCGCACGGTGCTGGCGGCGGCGGGGCGGTGCTACAGCTCAGCGTGGCGTTTTTCTTGATCTGAAGCGACGGCGATACATGCAGTCAGGCAGAAGAGCGGGTTGGCCTTGGGTGTAGTGGATGTTGTGCGTCGTCATGGATGGCTTTGTGCTACCTGCCGGCTCAGTATTCATCCATCTTGGGTGTGGTAGCCAGATCTGGCGCGTGGTGACGGTGGACATGTTCGCCGCGGTGGTCTGCTCCGGCCCAGTTCCGACATTGTGACGGCGGCTTCGGAGGCGGATCTGCTCCGTCCAGGCTAAGTCTGACGGCGACCGTGCGCTTCTGATCTATTGGCCGCGCTCCAGCTCCGGCACTCCGGCCATGTCAACTCTGGACAGAACTCTCTCCAGCGAGGTGGTAGCGGATCGGTGGTGTTTTCCGCTAGTGGTGTTTGGTCCTTACGGCGACCAATCCGGCCTACGACAGCGGACTCACATCGGATTGTGGTGGTCACGGAAAGGTCTTCGTGAGGGCTCATCTCTCCACACCCGATGGCTCACTTCGAAGAGAGATGCAAACTTTGGATGATGACTTGACGCAGAGGGATGGTGGTGCAGCAGTGGCGGTGCACAACGCATGTACCTGCTGGGATCGAGGAAAAGTGGTGGCGGCAACACATAAGTGATGTTGATGATGGTGCTACTCGAGCACCTCGTCTTGAGTTCCGGGGTGAAAGCCTAGGTCTGACACAAGTTGCTAGACCTGGCAACGACGACGTTGTTATGTCGTTACTTTGTTGAAGGCATTGCTCGGATATGCTTAGACCGGTTCTTCAGGGTGAAAATCTAGATTCTGACCATGGGTGGTTAGATCCAGCGACGGCGATGCTTGAGGCGTCGCTCCCTTCTTGAAGGCATTGCTGTTGAAGAACCTCGTCCGTGTGGTGTCATGAGATGATTGGTGCAGATATGGTCATTGTCGTAGTTTGTCGATCGCGTGTCTGTTACTTTGGATTTTTTTATCGCCTACATTTAGCTTTGGTCTTACATGACTTTACTATCTGTCGGCGTGTTTTGTGTGTGTGAGTTAGTGTTGGCTGTGTGCATCCTAGCTATGCAGAGGCCGGGTGTGTACTCTTTATGTTTGTATTCTCTTGATGCTCCATTTTGAGTCAATAAAATTCACCCTTTATTGAAAAAAACAATACACTGTTTGTTGAACTGAAGAATTGTACTGCTCCCTCTGTTCCTAAATATAAGTCTTTGTAGAGATTCTACTATGGATCACGTACGGATGTATATAGATGTATTTTAGAGTGTAGATTCATTCATTTTGCTCCGTATATGGTCCATAGTGGAATCTCTCTAAAGACTTATATTTATGAAAGGAGGGAGTGTTCCTTTTTATCTGGGTCTTGTTTTTCTGAGAGGTTATCTAGTGCCCTCCTGTTTAGCAATCTACATGTGCTTCATGTTTTTGTTGTTTTATTCTAGCTAATGATAAAATGTAGCAGATTGTTCTCTTCGTTGATCACTAGCAGATTGCATCTGATTTCTAGAAGAGCTTGGAGCACATCCACCTGATTTCTAGAAGAGCTTGGAGCACATCCACCTGATTTCTAGAAGAGCTTGGAGCACTACTCGTGTAATTAAAAAACTGCATCATAGTCATTTTTCCTTTATGAATCCATTGCATCAGGTTGAGTATGGATGCTAGGCTCGGTATTAAAGTGAGAGCCTACACTAGCAGACATAGTTACATTTATCTCCTTTCAAGCAGTATATATTTTCCTAGGAAAAAACCTGATGTGCTATCAAGTTAGTAACAATTTCCCTGTTGCAACGATGGTCGATCCGTTGACAGATCAAATGGGAAGGGCATTTTTGTGCTTCAGGGTTTTTCTACTGAAGTATTTTGAACTTTGTATTTCTTTTCCTCGCACATAACTCTGATTTATATTAGTGCTGTTTTTCAATTTATGGGTGGTCAAGTAAAGGCACTCCCAAGCCTGGAATCAAAAGCTTGCGGTACATACAGAGTTCTTCATTGAGCGTGTTATTGTTGCAGCATTCAGGTTTTGTGTGATTTTGCTAAAATGGAAATATCTAATTGGGTGTTTACAGACTTACTGTTTTTTTTTATCTTTATATCCCCTCCAAGTTGATGCAGGGCTGATGACCTGCACGATCAGGGTCTCCATCGATAGGCATTTTTCACCCGTCCGATTTCGTCGGGGGAGATTGGAGCCGTTCGTTTCGGGTGGTAGGATGGCATTTTGTTAGAGTGGAATGATGTTTACATACAGTAGTGCAGAACTGCAGATGGTTAAGCAACTAAGACATTTCACCATCTTCATGTAGCGATAGCTACACTTGCAACCTTTATCTGTTTTGAAGGAATTACATTGTCCCAAGAAAAAACTGTTGCACTATCAAGTTAGCAATGATTTCCCTTTTGCAACATTGGTCGATCCATCGACCTATCCAATGGGATGGACCTTTTTTTGTTCTCGCATGTTTTTCTGTTGCCTTGTTTGGATATCTCCATCATTTTCACTTCAGCTGCAAGCAATCTACAATTGTTTCATGGTCACGATACAATCATGTAACAAAAATCACAGGTCCCACATTATGCCCATGAGACGTTGTGGTTGCAAGCCATGAGCTATGCTCATTTTTATCTCTACTAGGTGGTGCTGGATCATTTTGATTACGAGTGACCAAAAGAAGAAAAATTGCCTTGAACCAGACCAGAAAAGGGGCATTTTCTGGGTAGGTTTCCCTATCAAGTCAGCACCGGAACAAGATTGGAGACCCACTGTCGGTGTCAAAACCGGCGAATCTCGGGTAGGGGGTCCTGAACTGTGCGTCTAGGCCGGATGGTAACAGGAGGCCGGGGACACGAAATTTTACCCAGGTTCGGGCCCTCTCGATGGAGGTAAAACCCTACGTCCTGCTTGATTAATATTGATGATATGGGTAGTACAAGAGTTGATCTAACACGAGATCAGAGAGGCTAAACCCTAGAAGCTAGCCTATGGTATGATTGTTGATGTGTATGTCGTCCTACGGACTAAAACCCTCCGGTTTATATAGACACCGGATAGGGTTAGGGTTACATAGAGTCGGTTACAATGGTAGGAGATCTGAACATCCGTATCGCCAAGCTTGCCTTCCACGCCAAGGAAAGTCCCTTCCGGACACGGGACGGAGTCTTCAATCTTGTATCTTCATAGTCCGGGAGTCCGGCTTGAAGGTATAGTTCGGCTATCCGAACACCCCCTAATCCAGGACTCCTTCAGTAGCCCCTGAACCAGGCTTCAATGACGACGAGTCCGGCGTGCAAATTGTCTCCGGCATTGCAAGGCGGTGTGACGCCCCTGATTTAATCGTACACTAATCATGCACGCAAACGTGTACGATCAAGATCAGGGACTCACGGGAAGATATCACAACACAACTCTAAAACATAAATAAGTCATACAAGCATCATAATACAAGCCAGGGGCCTCGAGGGCTCGAATACAAGTGCTCGATCATAGACGAGTCAGCGGAAGCAACAATATCTGAGTACAGACATAAGTTAAACAAGTTGCCATAAGATGGCTAGCACAAACTGGGATACAGATCGAAAGAGGCGCAGGCCTCCTGCCTGGGATCCTCCTAACTACTCCTGGTCGTCGTCGTCAGCCTGCACGTAGTAGTAGGCACCTCCAATATAGTAGTCGTCGTCGACGCTGGCTCCTGGCTCCTGGACTCCAGCATCTGGTTGCGACAACCAGAAAGAAAGGAAAGGGGAAAAGGGGGGGAGAAAGCAACCGTGAGTACTCATCCAAAGTACTCGCAAGCAAGGAACTACACTACATATGCATGGGTATATGTGTAAGGAGGCCATATCAGTGGACTGAACTGCAGAATGCCAGAATAAGAGGGGGATAGCTAATCCTGTCGAAGACTACGCTTCTGGCAGCCTCCGTCTTGCAGCATGTAGAAGAGAGTAGATTGAAGTCCTCCAAGTAGCATCTCCAAGTGGCATATCCAAGTAGCATCGCATAGCATAATCCTACCCGGCGATCCTCCCCTCGTAACCCTGAGAGAGAGCGACCACCGGTTGTATCTGGCACTTGGAAGGGTGTGTTTTATTAAGCATCCGGTTCTAGTTGTCATAAGCTCAAGGTACAACTCCAAGTCGTCCTGTTACCGAAGATCACGGCTATTCGAATAGATTAACTTCCCTGCAGGGGTGCACCAACTTACCCAACACGCTTGATCCCATTTGGCCGGACACACTTTCCTGGGTCATGCCCGGCCGCGGAAGATCAACACGTCGCAGCCCCACCTAGGCACAACAGAGAGGCCAGCACGCCGGTCTAAACCTAAGCGCACAGGGGTCTGGGCCCATCGCCCATAGCACACCTGCACGTTGCGAGGGCGGCCGAAAGCAGACCTAGCCTAGTGGCGTTCCAGTCCAATTCGGCGCGCGCCGCTCTGTCGCTGACGTCTGAAGTGCTTCGGCTGATACCGCGACGTCGGGATACCCATA